ATATATATATATATATATATATATATATACATATACATATATACATATATATACTAAACTATACGGAGCGCATTCCAGAAGGTTGTGACTTTTAGTGTACGTGTATTTCAGCATTTTATTTTTTATTCTGTTTGTATCTTCCGTCTGAGAGTTTCGTCTTTTTCATACATCTCTTCTTCCTTTCTCCTTTCTTCTCTCCTTCTAATCCTTCATTTCCTTCTACTTCTTCTTCTTTCTTATTTAGCTACATCTCTCTGTCTGTCCTTCAGCATTTTGTTTCAGTTATGAACTTCAATATTATATTAACCTAAATTCAATAAGATACTCCGAATTTATAAAGCCTGAAGTGTTTTTCAAACTCCGCTAGAGACGACATGTGGAAAACGTCAAGCTCTGACCATATTAATCCCCAAGAAAGAGCTGTTTTTTAAAATGAATAGGAAAAAGACGAAAAGATTAAAAATAAAATTCAAGATTATGGTCTTATATGTGATACCGTGCACTTCGGTAGATCGATGCGAAGATTTCGAAGGAACCTATCTACCAAACTACACGACGTCAGAGCCCATTATAGGGGACAGTAATCTTGATATTCAATGCCGTGAAAATCTTTACTCACAAAAATATCTGCTTAAATAACTGAAGTGGGGACAATGATAACATTAAGAGTAAGTGTAAGCTTACGTCCGCGCCATAGCTCAGGCGGTTAGTCGCCGGCTTCCCAACGCAGCGGCCTGGGTTCGAGTCCACGTCAGGTCATGTGACATTTGTGATGGCACTGGGGCAGGTTTTCTCCGAATAGTTCGGTTACCCTGCCAATTCTCATTCCACAGACTGTTCCATAATCACCATCATCTATCATTAGGGGTTGGTACAATACGCCAAACAGTGACCACAGTAAAAAGTGGACTCAGTCTCACCCCACCCAAAGTAAATGAAAACAAACGAAGCCTACTACCTTCTGGGATGTGACGCTGTGTAGTTTGGGGTAAGAATTTATCGACATTTCGAAGACACGTATTGCCTCCATCTTCAGGGTCGAAGAGTATGCCAAGTAAGCAAGTTATAAAAAATCTACCTTGAACATTGAGGCATCCCGTTCGTCCGAAACACTGCTAAACGACCAGACTACACAGCGTCACTAATGTAGAAACCTCAAATGTCACAAAATTAGGACAGGGACGGGCGGATTGAACTGGTTAAGAATCGTGTCCAACGGCCAAAGTTGTCATACCTTCGGGGTTCTGCTGCCAGAGAATTAGTTAGATATTACGGAAATAAGTCATGAGCATTGGAGTCGGATGAAACTGGCTCAGAATTGCTTCCAATGGCACTATTTAATATTAGTGGTGTTGAACATTCAGGGTCTGCTGCAACATTTCGTCCTGTGCGTGGTCTATTTATTTTCTGAAGCAGACAGGAACATCATTGGCTAAACTTCTACGGGCGTTCCAACTGACAGCACATTTAACGGCCTATACGGTGAAATGATCTTGTTTCACAGCAATTAGCACAAATGCAATTAAACTGTTTCGCCAACGCTTTAAACAAACATAACAACAACTTCCTGGGGCCAAGTAAAGAACACTACTGATCAACAAGTCAAAGTAATCTAGTGGTTGTACTCTCTTTCGCTCACTCGTTAAATCAAACTCCTGCTCTGTAACCCAAGAAACAAAAGTCGTAGGGGAAATAATTCTACTGAAGCCAAGGGTTAATTACCAATCCCATAAGAACCCATCATTAATCTCCATCCTTTGGCCACGTCATAGTTCAAGCGGTTAGTCGCTGGCTTCCCATCGCGGCGGCCCGGGTTCGATCCCGGGTCTGATCAAGTGGGATTTGTGGTGGACAAAGTGGCGCTGGGGCAGGTTTTCTCCGAGTACTTCGGTTTCCCCTGCCAATCTTCATTCCACCAATTGCTCCACAATCACCCTCACCTATCATCTGGGGCTGGTACAATAGGCCAGAAGTGGCTGCAGTACAAGGGACTTAGTCCCACCCCACTAGCAATAAAAAAAACTCTATCCTTAGCCACATTAATTGACTCTACACCATACCCTCTTTATTTTAAGACACGTTTTAATTGTCACTCACGTAGTATGTGTGACTATAGACGGGGTTTGGATTGGTGAATGGATTTACACACGTGACTCGGAACTACAAGCAACCACAATGCCAGCGGTAATCTCCACAATTCACAAATAACCACAGCACCCACTAAGTCTTTTACAGCCTGATGTATTTCGACCAGTCGTTCCTTGGCAACCCTCTCTTCACGGAATCCTATACAGAAGTTACTAAGTTCTAACCTTGTATCGGCAAGGACCACTTAGAAAACATAGCTCTTCCATTGTTGTGGTCCAACTGTTGTATTATTAAGAATCTGCTGTCTAGCAACTGGAGTTTGTTTCGCGGGAACGTGTTTACCGAGCCGTTGCCCAGAAACGGCCCTGGTATATCCGCCCATCTCGCGGTCGTTGCGTAGCAATGGTTCTAGACGCTACAATACTATGCTGAAATCCGCACCGATGTCTTTTAAATGAACTCTCCTGTCAGGATTTCTCAATAAGTGCGTATATGAATTCAGCGTCCTCATTCGCGTTACATGCCCCGCCTATCACGGTCCTGGACTCGAAGTGTACAAATTATGAAGACCTTCGGCAGGAATTTTCTTTTCGAGGCTCTTGTTTCGTCCACCGCGTATCCAAATATCTTACGTCCCCAATGAGAGACAAAGCGAATTAATTATGACTTAATTACAGTAATGAAATGGGAACCGAGAGTGAGATAATCAAGTTTTTGCCAAATGCCGGATTCATTCTAACAGTTTCGAGAATTACAGTTATTTAGGCCTGTACTAAGGGCCGGGATATCTCAGTTGGTATAGAGAGAGGCTACGGGCTGGACGGCTGCGGTTCGATTCTCGGAAGAGGCAAGAGATTGTTCTCTACCCACACAGTCTAGACAGGCTCTGGGGTTACCCAGCCTCCTACACAATGGTTACCGGGGTAAAGGGGCAGGGGCGTAAAGCTCCATTCCCCATGCGTATTGATGGGGCGCTGTTTAATTAATTAGACGCAGGGACAACTTATTTTTAGGCCATACTTATTGAAACTTGTTATTATGTACCCCGTTTGCTTAGTCACAATCCAATTATAACATTCAATATTGCTAATATGCAAACATAGGTTTTAGGAAACTCTTTCAAATTAGATATTTTCAAGAAAATGACAACAGCTGACGACAGAGAGACAACTGTTGAAAAAATCTCCTTCCAGCAGAATTAGTGCTTTCTGCAATCAGAGCGTGCATCGATCTGTCAGCACACTGTACTACCACAATCTCACGCAGTATCATCACAATTATTTTCTACAGATATATAAGCCATCAATCAAAACCTGATTGAGGAGGACATTAAAAGGAGCCTGAATTCGGGTAATGCTTCCTACCTTTCAGTCCAGAACCTTTTGTCTCCGTGTCTGCTGTCTAAAAGCATAAAAATTTGAATATACAAAACTATAATTTTGTCTGTGGTTCTGTATGGGTGTGAAACTTGGTCTCTGACATTAAGGGAGGAACATAGACTGAGGGTGTTTCAGAACATGGTGTTGGATCGAAGAGAGATGAAGTGACAGGAGATTGGAGAAAACTGCATAATGAGGAGGTTCATAACTTGTACTCTTCTCCAAGTATAATTATAGTGATCGAGTCAAGGAGGATGAAAGGGCAGGGTATGTAGCAAGGATGGGGGAAAAGAGGAATGCGTATAGAATTTGGTGGGAAAACCAAAATGAAAGAGACCACTGGGAAGACCAAGACGTAGGTGGATGGAAAATATTAATAGAGAGATATGATGGGATTGTATGGATTGCATTGATCTAACTAAGGATAGGGACAAGTGGAGGGCTCTTGTGAGCACGGTAATGAACGTACGGGTTCCATAAAATGCTTGGAAGTTCTTGAGTAGCTACACAACTGGCAACTTCTCAAGAAGGGCTCAGCTCCATGAGTGACGATGAGTGATATATGTGCCACGAGATGTCAACAAACGGATACTTTGCTGAATCGCGAATTAAATGTTCCGCCAGATAAACAAAACGGGCGATAATTACATTCAATTGCGCTGTCAGCAAAAGGTTTCCGCTGTGTGCATATTAACAGCCTTCATAATCTCCGTGTCTCTTAAGACTTCGTCGCTAATTAATAAAAATTCCCCTGAGCTCAGTTTCGAAGACCACAAACTTAAACAGCAAAACACCAGCTCACTTGCTGCTTAATAAACTCACGACCCATAATTCCACGCTCTGTATCACAAACTGCAGACAACCGTGACGGCGGTAAGGTCTGTGAAAACACTGCTCCCTCCCCCTCCACTTCATCTTACGTATATAAAATAGACTGAATTTCGAATAACGAATTATTTAACCTTTAGACACCATTGAGAGAAGTGTCTCAAATTTTGACTTAAAAAAAAGTAATTAAAAATGAAATTATGTCATGTTTTACTTGTGAGTGTGTTCTGTGGAGCGATGAGTCAAAACACGTCAGAAACAGAAGATGAGACGTTGAACGAAGTTGAAGAAAATGGAAACTGGAAAATGTTGTATAGGTTAATCAGCGACTGCGCGAAGACTTCGGATATGAGTGTCTGTTTCAAGATAAAGGCCGTTACAATTCTGGACAGGGTTACGTCACTGAAAGCACCGCTCGAAATAAACGATTACGTCACTCTAGCCAGGGATCCGATGTATAACGAGGATGGACCACAAGGAAGATCTCTTAAGCCGTTATCTGAGAAGCAGCTGGAACAAACACTACCAAGGTCAAGTGAAGAACGGAACGGACGATTGGATGAAATCATACAAGAGAAACTGGACGCCTTCCTTCAGTCAAGAACTTTACAATTAAAATTTCCTGCAGACGTTTTCGAAGGTTAGTAATTATTTTTATGTTAAACAGTGTTTTAACAATGTCATTAATATCCTGACCGCCTCTATGGCATAGTGGTCAGAGTTCCTCGCTACAGAGCCAGAGGTTCCGGGTTCGATCCCCGGCGCTACCACTCAGCCTCGTGAGGATAACTGAGGAGCTATTTCAAGGAAATAGCGGCTCCGGTCTAGAAAAAAAACGAAATTAAAGGCCGTGGGGATTCGTTGCGCTGACCACGCGACACCCTCTATCCGCTAAAGTTGGTAATAATTTCACCGATAAGCGGTGGTCGCGCTCGGTCGGTATAGTTTGCTTGCGGACTAAAACCACGGAGTTTATTTCTTTATTTTCATTAAAATCCTTAATTGTAACTAGTGTAATAACACTCGTTGGGAATTCAACGGGAAATCTCATAATGTGTTACATAAGTTTTGGAAACATTAACTTCTCCTGCTTTTCCGTGAATTCCTTTGCAGTCCGACATGTTATCGAATGATACGTCGAAGCACACGTTACATGCTATCTCCCACGAGTAACACGCAAGAATAATCAATCATAAACCATCTTCTAAACGTAGCACGTAATAATACATTTCACATAGCCAAATCAAAATATTATCAGTACTCACAGAATAGACATGATGATTCCAATGCTGCTGTTTAATTTCATGCAACATGTTAGTGCTCGACCACTCCAATCTATGGTAACTTGACACTGCGTAATGACAGTGATAAATCCAACGCTTACAAAATTTTATACAGCCTATATATATATTATATATATATCAGAATATGAAACTAAATTGGACAGACAAAAATAGGTTACCCTGACTGCATGACTCACTGACTGTTGAAATGCTGCTGGCTCTCGCCAGCACAGTGATTCTTGGTTCCGCGTCGCACGATATTCACGACGATATTTTACTGTGTGACGGATATGGGAGCCTTCAGACCACTGACCCAGGCCTACTCTGAACACAATGATCAGTGTTTAATAATACAATTCGTACCTCACAAGAAACATCCAGTCTACATTACAAAGACCAACGATTTTAAGTTGTTGTGGCAAATAAGTGGCACTTGTTCTGAGAACTGTAACAAACAAACAGACATAAGGCAGTCACATTACAGCGTTCTTGAATATTAAAATAAACATGAAGGTTTACTATCTCCTTTACTTTATTTTTAAAGAGGAATTCTATCTGCAGGGACATAACGCCGCGTAGTCGGTTGAAAGTCAATAGACTCATGCCGATTTCTTGCTTTCGACCCTGAAGATGGAGGCGGCATATACCTCCGAAATGTTGGTTGTCTTTCAACGAACTATGCGGTGTTATATCCAAGCAGACAGGAATCTTCATACACACCGCTGTGAGAACCTCAAATCTGCATGGATTACATGTTGTTCCCTCTTGGCACATTTTGATGCTAGTCGCTTTCTAATTATCTCGAAACGTGTCACAATGACAGTTAAATTACCATGTCTGTAAAAGGATGTCATTCGTCCCTATCGTGGATAAGACGAATTCAGTTCGCATTATCACAACCTGTTCATTAATTTTAATATTATCATCATACACGTATTTACGGCCCGTCTGAAATATCTCTTCCATTTAGGGTTTCCTACTGAAATGTACGCATTTTTCATGTCACCCATGCGTGCTGCATGAACCATTCATCACATTCTCAATTACTTACTTGGTTCTACTATCCTCAAAGATCCTAGATCTCCTTTAAGATGGAGGTCAATTTTTTCATCGGGGTACACACACTTCCCCTGGGGCTCATATGGCTTTCAATAAAATGAGTACTGGGGGCTCACTTCCCAGGACGTAACGCGACCAGAACTTGTAGTTGAAAACTGACACCCATGCATCGCCGAACTACGAATTGGTGGAGCTATACCTCCTCCCCTTTATGTGGTCGCGGAGTGGATAGCGGGGATAAATTTACCTTCTTATACACGTTGTCAAATATATTCATTGCATAAAGTAAGCATATTTTTGTTTTGTGTATCATAAAGAGTAATAATTAATAACAGTTACTTCCTAGACAGGAAAACTTAAATCTCCATTATAGAAACCAACCGGTTAAAGCTGTTTAGGGGTAATGTTTGGTTTTTATTGTGAGAATCACACGAAACACAAAACCTGAGAGCAAATTACAGCGTTCTTGAATATTAAAGCTGGTATTATATAGATTAAGAACTGTATTTCAGAGGTTTATCCAGGCTTCCTTGCTTATGAAGCCATATACCTCCTCGAGAACTACTGCCTGGTCGTGAAGAGGAGGTTGCGGGCCCCAGATACCCGGAGAGCTATGCTGGCTGGAGCGTAATCTCCTGGTAGATCAAAGGGTAGGGGCCATAAGGAGTGTAGCCCGTGGTCCTCTTTGTTTAGGGTTGGGCGTGCGGATAACAAACCTACCTTGAAAAAATGTACTATTACGAAAACTCCAGAGCCTATGGAGAAGGCCGAGACCCACAGTAAAGGAGAAAAAGATGATAATAATAATGAAACAACATATACACAAAACAGAATACTATAATGTATGTTTTTATGTTCACAGGAAGGAAGAAGAAGAAGGGTGGAGGTTATCTGGTGGCCGCTGGAATGGCAATGGCTGCGATGATGGTTCAGATGTTCATGGGGAAAATTGCACTCATAGCCGGAAAAGCGTTGCTTGTTGCGAAAATCGCCCTTGTCCTCTCAGCGATAGTTGGACTGAAGAAACTCGTGGGAAGTTCAGGAGGTGGCGATTCACATCCACAGGTCGTGTACGCATCAGGAGGCCATGATCATGGAGGGTGGCAGGGCCGTAGCATATCCCCTGATACTTCACAAGCCCATGATATGGCTTACAGGTCCCAAAAACCAGAGAATACAAACGAGGGTTGAAAACTTTATCAGTCAGAGGACTGGAAAAATTAAACGCTACATGAAACAGTCACAAATAATTATCAAATGCAGCAAATCTCCAAATAGTTCCATAAAAATTAATTTGATTAAGAACGTATATTTATTTGAGCGATGCATGAAATANTCCGAAATGTCGGTTAACACCACATATACACGGTGCCAAATCCCAGAAGACTGCTTTCTTCATAGTCACCGCCGTGAAAGCCTCAAATCTTACAATTATATACATGTTTTATAATTTATCCGTAAGAAACTTCAGATAAAAGCAAAGAAGAAATTATAATTTACGTCCTAAAAATTAATCGAAAAGACAGAAAGTGGTAAAAAGTAATTGAGGCACAGTCTGTGTAGAATATCTCTGAGGGTGCGTCATATATTGGGTTGCCAACTTTACGGATGAAAAGTCTCTATGTATTCAACGAGATCCCGGCTATGGTGACTTTGGCTTATATCCTGTGTTCATAACAGAATATAATAACTTCTCATTGATGACGCAATGAACTACGTCACTAACTGACGATGGTGGAGCCTCTAAGATACTTTAAACACATTATAATATTATTAGTATGTAGGAATTTTGCGTAACGAAATTGTTTTTTTTTCTTTCTTTAGAAATTAATCGAAATGGAGCGAACATGTTCACGGGTAACTGACAGAACTAAGTAACGGCCAAAAGTGAATATTTCTTTGTATAAAGTAGCATGCCATCATTTTATTTTACAAATTCGTGAACTATGATACAAAATCCTAAAACACTAAAAAATATTCTAAATTAAATCACACAGTATAAAGATATTTGAGGTGGAAGTTTACAAGAATTACATTTCACAACTAAAGTAACCAACTACTTATACGGTCTCGTCCTCGAACAATTAAAAATAAATTTTCAGCCGATTAAGAAATTTTAGGTTTTTACGAACTGCAAATAACCTCAAACAATATTGACTTTGAACACTATCCGAAGTAATTTCTATCATGTTTACAGAGATACAACATATTTCTCTTACATAAGCTTCAATATTATCCCTTCATTTACAATATATCTGCTAAATAACATATTCCTCTCGGGTATTCAAACTAAAATTTTATATGTAATTCTTGTTCCTCCCATAAGTAATATGGTGCCGAACACCTCAGAGCTCTCTGGTGGCAGCGAAACAAAAGATAATTACAAAGACACATCTAAACGACCCCAATTACGTATCTTTGAATCCAAGTTAAAACAAATACGTGCTTCGGTCTATTATTATTAAAATTGTAGGTCTATTTAATTTAAGTATTATTTATTTATTTATCACATACGCAGCATAGTTTGTATATTTTGTAAAAACATACTCTTCATACAATCATATTAGTCAAATGTTTTCTCTGATCCATTTGTGCCCTGCGGTAGCCTGCCTTCTTAAGACAGAATATTAACTCTTATATAAAATTATACAAGTAAATATAATTTTCATTGGTCAAACTGCTATAATATCTTGCGCAAATTAAACTATATTCATCTTTATTACATAACATATTAATCAACATTATACTTCAGCTAACAGTACGTCCATTTTGTTTTTACAGCCATATTGATCGATAAGCCGGTCTAGAAAACTGAGATTAACGACCGTGGGGATCCTTTGCGCTGACCACGCGACACACTCTATCCGCAAAAGGTGGCACTAATTTCGCCGACAAGCGGCGGTCGCTCGGTCGGTATAGTTCGCTTGCGGACTGAACCCACGGATTTGTTTATTGGTCTATAAGAAAGCATAGTTTGCACAAGGTTATTAACTGCCTTCTTCGTGTGTAGGCCTATCATGAGATCTTAATAAAATATTGTTGAGATTTGATGTCATAGATTTCTGGACAATGTTAGTTTTCCATTTTGAGTTTTAACTATATTCACCGATTACAAATACAACTTTTGTCGTAAATTGTCTCACAGATTTCAATTAAATTTGATCAAAATTCTCGCGCTGTTCAAATATGAATTTTGCTCGTCTTATATAACTCTGCTTTCAAACCGGGCACAAATAAGACTAAATTGTAAAGAAGGCAACTGTGAATTTTGTATGCAAATACATTGTACAGTATACGCTCTCACACTCATTATATTAGAAACTCTAATTACATTTAATTTTGTTTACGTTATATTTACTATATTATAAAGAGAGAAGAATACTATTCTGTGAACAAATTAAATATACTAACCATAATTAGACTGCAATCCTTTAGTAAGTTATATGATGTAAGAATTATAAATTATCCCTACGTATCAAATATATTCTATGTGTGAATATACTTAAATTTAAATGAATATATTATATCAAACTTCTTTACTTAATGCATGGTTGATAGTTTACATTGCTTAGCTTTCAGCATGGGGAAAGAGATCCATTTTCTTCGCGATTGTCACCTAAATCGACGTTTCCAAAAAATTATGTTTGTCACGTAGTACAAAAACTCTCGAAATACAGTCAGAAAATCAGACAAGACTGAAACCATACACAAAGACCGACATACCAAAGGAAAAACATTTGAAAATAAAATAATAATAATAATAATAGAAAGAACAGAAAAATTCAATTCGAACGTTTTCTCAGTCGTGCTTTGGAATATAAATACGAACGTGTTTGTTTAATTAATGGAAACACTCCGAATATATTAAATATCTGTAGAGACAAAGTTCCTCATGGTGGGGCCAACATTCAGCCGTCAGGGGTTTCGCGTTGTGATTGTAATTTTATCTCGCCGGTTGTCTTGTGGTGTGTTCCTGGCTACAGATCCAGAGGTCCCGGGTGCGGTTCCCGGCACTACCAGATTTTCTGATAAGTAGCGGGTCTGGAACGGGGTCCACTCAGCCTTGTGAGGATAAATGAGGAGCTATTTCAAGGAAATAGCGACTCCGGTCTAGAAAACCGAGATTAACGTTGTTGAGATCAATTTATCAAATAAATGTGTCATTTTATTTTGGCAATATTTTTTTTTATTGCTAGTGGGGTGGGACTAAGTCCCTTGCACTGCGGCCACTTCTGGCCTATTGTACCAGCCCCAGACGATAGGTGAGGGCGATTGTGGAGCAACTGGTGGAATGAAGATTGGCAGGGGAAACCGAAGTACTTGGAGAAAACCTGCCCCAGTGTCACTTGACCAGACCCGGGATCGAACCCGGGCCGCCGCGGTGGGAAGCCAGCGACTAACCGCTTGAGCTATGGCGCTGTTTCGGCAATATCTACATTATTACGAAACGGATTCGACACGAACCGCGCATGCGCAAGTAAAGCTGCTCGACGTGCGGATGGTTAAACGCTTGATGTTATACAGCGTAAGAACTTATTTTTTCACGGATATTACAGACCGATAGAAATTATTTTTTTGTTGTAATTATGTAGACTGAACAGAGGTGCTCATAATTAAACTTAAAAGTGTGACAGAAATGTCAGATTTCCTGGTGGACAAAACTCGACGAAATTCAACACGAGCAACTGAAACAGCGTCGTTTGTTAAACAATCAATAAAATACGTCAAGCAGGACAAAAAGTAAACTATTGTGACGCATGGATTTCAGTGACTTCAGTGACACAGTGACTTGCTACCTTCCTAAAGGCACACTTCATTAACGTGTGCAGAACCTGCCTGAACCACAAGATAGAACGAATATGTTTCATGTCGGTTTTTTGCTTCGCATACTCATTAACCCCGAAGATGGAGGGGATATGTTCTTCCGAAACGTCGGCTGACTTTTTAACATACTACCCGACATTATATTCCAGAAGAGAGAACTGTCCTAGAGCGAATACAATTTACCTGACGATGGAGTTAATATTACGATTACGTTCGTCTGGGATATGACGCCTTATAATAGAGTAGATATACCGACGTTTCGGAGGAACCTGCTGCATTTATATTCAGGGCAATAAAGTCTACCTTGAAGATGGAAAGAGGATATCCCTACGAAAAGGTGGTTTACCTATCCACGAAACTACACATGACAAGGTCCCAAGGACCGTAGCCTCCATAATCACAGACAGCAGATCCTGAAATCCACTTGATTTTTTTGGGGGGGGGGGTTAAAATCATGATTTTCGTAATTCACACGATAATAAAGTGAATTCGTGTAGGGTCTGATGATCTCACAGCAGTGGTTATGAAGAGTGCTGTCTACTGTGATATGTCATGTAGTCCGTTGAAATTCAAACGACGTTTCGGAGGAACATATCCGCTCCATTCTCAGGGTCCAATAGGCCGAGCAATGCAGGTGGCAAGCCGGTCCATTCGACCCTCAAGATGAAGGCGATATGCTCCTCCTAAACGTCCTTCAATTTCAACGGACTATACGGCGCTATGTCCCAGAAGATAGTACTCTTCAGACTGCTGGGCGTCCAACTTACGGTCGATACCAGCAACAGAAATGGTCAGAATTACTGAGTTTTTGGATTTTGCCCATCGTCCGGTATCCTAAAAAAACAGAACACAATTTTTCGGAAACTGGGTCTATTTTCGTCCTTAGGTGAAGGGGGAGACACCTGCTTTGTTGGGTCCTTCAATCTAGTGATTGGGGTTACAGCTGTTTCTAAGGGACCCAAAAGAGTGCCTGTCTCCTTCCTCACCTGAGCACGGAAACATATCCAGCTTCCGAAGCGTTGTGTTTTGTAAGTAAAGGTAAAGTTGTCTGTGTTTAACTAATTAAGCATTATGCCATGAAGGCGTATGAGGGATTGGATGTATAGATCCACATTTTATTGACCTCGGCACTAGCTGGAGGTGAGTGGTCAGCTTCACGACGCGGCCGTTTTAACCCCGGGGAAAGAGTCTCCGATACCCACTGAACAGGAAGTTGAGTGGACCCCAGAGTCGGTATAGACGACATGGAGAAGAGAAAATTCTTGACCCTACCGGGATTATAACCCGTAAACTACGCTATCCAGTCCCCTGATGTGTTCTGTACTTTTTAGAATACCGAAGATTGAAGAAAACAATTACGGTAATTC